AATTCTCCTGCCTCAGCCTCCCGAGTAGCTGGGATTACAGGCACACGCCACCATGCCCAGCTAATTTTTTGTAGTTTTAGTAGAGACGGGGTTTCACCATGTTGACCAGGATGGTTTCGATCTCTTGACCTCGTGATCCACCCGCCTCGGCCTCCCAAAGTGCTGGGATTACAGGCGTGAGCCACCACGCCCGGCCACTTTTAGTAACTTTTAAAAAGAAGACACCCCTTTCCCCTACACACACACAAGGAACATAATAATCAAATTAAAACAGAAGATATGATCTGAACTCTAAAATATAATACAATTAATAAAGATAGAAAGCTCTAAAAAATTTAATTCTGACCACACAATCATAAATAATTATGATGTGCAAAAGAAGGGGAAATAGGCCAGGCGCAGTGGCTCACACCTGTAATCCCAGTACTTTGGGAGGCCGAGGAAGGCGGATCACTTGAGGTCGGGAGTTTGAGACCAGCCTGACCAACATGGAGAAACCTCATCTTTACTAAAAATACAAAATTAGCTGGGCATGGTGGTGCATGCCTGTAATCCCAGCTACTCAGGAGGCTGAAGCAGGAGAACCACTTGAACTCAGGAGGTGGAGTTGCAGTGAGCCAGGATAGCGCCATTGCACTCCAGCCTGTGCAACAAGAGTGAAACTCCATCTAAAAAAAAAAGGGGGAAATAGCAGTTGGAATTTAGATATCTGGGTTTTAGTGCCAACCATCACTCATGTGTGTAACCCTGGGCCATGCTGTAAGTTTCAGGGCTTTCTTTTCACATGTCCAAGTTAAGAATTGGAATCTTTATGGTGTCTTCTAGCTCTAATGTTCTGTGATTCTCTCTAAACCAACCAATTTGGTATGCTACTCAACTTTTTGCTTCTGTCTCGTCTACTAAGTGGAATGCTCTGTTTTCAGGAAAGTTAAAACATACACTGTTGAGAGGAAATGGAAATCGAAATTAGAACAGAAGGTTATAAAAAAAAAAAAAAAGAACCTTAAATGAGTAAAAATCTCCATTCCCAGATGGGCAAGTATTTTTATTTTGGGAAAAAAGGGAAAAAGTGTGATCTCTAACTACCACAGAAAAATGTGCTGGAGAGGCCCTATAAAACAAAGTTTGTGTAAGTACTTAGAAAAGTAAGGTGATCAGTGGAGGTCAGCAGGGCTATCCCTAAAAAACCAAACCAGCACAGGCAGGGAGACCTGACTGGAGATGTTTAGTGGTAGATGAGAAGGCCAACGAGGTTCTGCTTGATTGAATAAGGTACCCAATTAGGAATCAGTAGCCTGACCTATCTATTAAAAACATTAAAACATTTTTAGGTGCATTAATAGAAATATGATAACAATTAAGGGAGTGAGGGGGTCCCACTGTCCCCTGAACTGGGGACTTTCTTTTGAGTAGCAGGTGCCATACTTTGAAAAGAATGTTTCACATTTGAGAATACTGATCCCAGAGGGGATAACAATCAGAAATAAGGTAATACAAAGAATACCTGAGCTAGTGAAATGTTTAGGCTGGGGAAAAAGAAGACTCCGCTATTTTCAAATTCTTGAAGAGACGTTAGACAGAGAACACATAAATGTAGTATGTTTGCCTACAGAAACATAACCATTACATAGAAGTTTTAGGGACTCAGTTTTACTTTAATATAACTGATGACTTTCTAACAACTAGAGCCTGCCTCATCATAACACTGGAAAATACTGTCACCGAAGTGTTCAAGCAAAGGCTGTAAGTATCATACACAAGGAATTTATGCATTAAGATGGTGAGTGGACCAGATGATCTTTAGGGCTCTTGCCAATTCTTGCTTATAATTTTAAGTTAGTCAGTTAGAAATTAGGCTCTGTTTTCTTCTAGAAACACGTTTATAAGAGGACATTAGGATTCAAAATCAAAAAAGTTTATTCAACTCATGATATTTCTTAATTCTTCAGTTGAAAACACATTCTTGAGTCTGGGAAGCACATGATTTTAAGGTATAAAATCACGAGGGAGAAGAGGAGGATCATTAGCCTTACTTTGCTAAGCAAAGATCTAGCCTGTGGCCGAATTATGAAAGAGCTGGGGAAAGATTCTGAAATCCATGTGACAGATCTCAGGAATGCCTTGGGTTGAAATCAACTTCCAGAACTAATCCCCACCTGACTGATGGCTTTCCACGTGCTAGCTGTGTGATCTTAGGTATTTTTTTTTTTGTGTACTTCCAGTAATATAAATAAATGTAAATAAAACAATTAATAGTGTGGGGATCAAATGAAATAACAGATATGAAATGCCTGGCAGAGTACTGGACACCTACTAGTTATTCACTAAATGCAGGGATTCCTCAGAGTGTCTATGTTGGGTTGCTTTTTCCAGTTTTCAAAGAACTTCCACATAATTTATCCCATTTGATTTTTCATAATACAGTATGTGGTAGGCAAGGGAGGTGAAATATCCATATTTTACAAAGGATGAAAGTATGCTTGGAGTAAATAACCAGTTATCTTGAATGATGGTTATTTGGCCTCTCATTTAATAATATTTCTAGTGCGAGGAGCACATTGCTCAACTAATTCCATCGTGGGCACCAAGGAAGAGAATGAGATATTCAAAAGTTTTCAAGATCTGCACTCAAGACAACATGTTCTACCCATTACTGGCATGGATTAACCACAACACACGAGCTGTAAAGAGGGTAGTGAGAGTGAACCGTCTTTGTTGTATTGGTGGGAAGAATGTAAATTGGCATGGCCTGTGGAAGAAGCAATTCATGTATGTGTATTGAAAACCTTATACATCATATTCATCTTTTGGCCTTAGAGTTCCCTAACTACTTATCTATTTTAAGAATAACTGGAAATAATGAAAAAAGTTTGATGCACAGAGGCACTCATCAGAGTATAGTTTCTGATAGTGAAAAACTGGAAACACTCTCAATAGCCCACCATGATCTATTAAAAGTAGAATAAATTGACCGGTCTCTGTGGCGCAATCGGTTAACGTGTTCAGCTGTTAACCAAAAGTGGAATAAATTGGAAAGGCTGAGTGTTCCAGAGATAAGGAGCTAGACTTTCGAGTCAGACCTGCTAGGGTAAAATTCTTGCTCTGCCTTTTATTATGGTGTGAGTGGGTTGGTTACTTAAGATAGCTAATTCTTATTAACTCAACTAAAAATAAAATGACAATTTACATTTTACAGAGCTACTATCAGAATTACAGATAATATTGCATGAAAATTGTTTAGCCCTGGGCTGGTACATAATAAGCCCTTGAAAGTGCTAACTATTATCATTACCATATAGTAGATATGCTATTTATTAAATGTTCAGTATATGTGAGTCATTTAACAAACATTATTTTTTAAAACTCTGATAATAAGTATTTGATGTCTGTGCTGTTAATATCGTCATTTGACAGATGAGGAAATAGAAATAGTCTATGGCCATACCCACCCTGAAAGCATCTGATCTTTCTAATCCTGGAAGCTAAGCAGGGTTAGGCCTTGTTAGTACGTGGATGGGAAACTGAGAAACAGATTGGCTAGGAAGCTTTCCCAAATTCACACAGATGGTCAGTTATAGTGCTGGGATTTGAACTCCAGCAGTCTGACTTGAGCCCATGCTCTAATCAAGGCTAAAAGACCTCCAATACTATAAAATAGTGGTGTGTCTCTTGTGTGTATATACACTTAACGTAAACTCATATTAGACATATACATTTATATGATGTTTAGAAACAGCTTAGGTGTATTACTAGTTTCTAAAAACAGGGCACCAAATTGTATATGGGGTAGGACATCTATTATGCAGATGAAAGGGACTGAAAATCAACATGGTTGCCTCTGTGGTATTATAGGTGGCTTTTGTTCTGGATGTTTCTGTGTTTTCCAACATTTCAACTGAAAATGTACTATTTTGTAAACAAAATTAAAGGAAGAAATATAGGTAAGTCATCCAATGAAGATGTAAGAATAGGTTTTGATAGATAGGGCATATTTTCTTCAATTCGAATAGCGAGTATACTAGATTTCCTGAATAATCTTCCTCCTGAAATGACTCAGAATGCTGAATAAAAATTAGAAAGCAATGGGGATAATATAAACACTTACATGTGTCAGAACTGGGGTGGGTGTAGGAAAGGCTGGAGTGGGCACTGGCTCAGGCTGGATAACGATTTCAGCTGGAGCTGCTCCATCTTCATCTTCACGGGGTTTCTGATGGGCACAGCGACCAATGTCAGCATTTTTGAAGGATACAGGCTGTGCAAAGTCCATGGGGCTGATAGAAGATAATAAAATAAGATTTTTTCGTTTTCATTTTTTTTTTGCTTCCTTACAATTAAGCCCAATCCCCGCAGTCCTTTTTAAGCCCATCAGTATGCTTTTCTCAATCTCAGTTGAAGATCCTCATTGTTCCCTCCTCCCCTGCATAGCTGTAGACAGTGTGATGCCAAAAATAATAAAAATAAAAATAGATGATCAGTAGTAGTAAAAAGGAGGTCCACTTACACCGAGTTAATAACAAGATTCCACACACAGCCTTCAAAAGGAGGAATATTTCTGAGTGGGGAAGGTTGAAATTCAGGCGGAGCACCCCCAACAAAAAGCTTTTTGACTTCGATAGGCTGTTCAACCGTCAGGTTTTGCATGTATCTTTTGTTTTCATCGACTTGAACGGTAAAGATGCTGGTAAAATATTAAAAATCAACAAGTATAAATCACATCTCATTCAACACAGTTGGAAATCAAACTCTTTCCTGCCACCCTTCACCCCTCTCTCCCATAGCTTTTAAGGGAGCCAAAATTGGATGGTCGGGAATCCTACACTAAGCCAATGCTGTTATTTCTCAGGATCTTGTCCCATGACTCCCTCGTTCACTCTTCCTGAAAGTTTACTGAAACCAGGTCATGGCGCACTGCAACATGAGCCTCTGGTGGAGATGACAGCAGCACTGTGCAGCCCAGCATGTGAGCCTGTGAGAACCGAGGCTTCTGTACCGTGCAGTAATGTCTAATTGTAGAAGGATCGGCAGGTTTAGCACAGCATTGGGTCTTTCTTGGGTTGTGCTGGCTATTATCTTCTTGCTAGGGAACAAATGGTTCTCCTGAGAGCTTAGATTGTTGGAATCAACAGCAAGCACTTAAAACACATTTTATAAAGAATGTAGCTGATGGCTTTTGAATAGAAGAGGCAGGCAAGAACACTCTGCTAATTGTTCCTTGCAATGATTTTCCTTAGTGGCTGTTTCATTAATTTCCCTAATTTGCTTACGAGAGATAATTCACACACTGCTAATTGAGAAGCTCATGCTACTTATTTATAGCAATCCTTGGATCCCTGGGCCAAGAATCAGAAGGAGACAAAGAGTTCTGATGAAAATGACCAAAGGCATTTTCTCTTTTGTTCCAGAAGCAAGTTTTGAGTTTCGGTCTGGAGAGTCATCGTGGTGCTGTTAGTCATAAGCATTAGTCACGAGCCCGAGGATCATGGATGAATTACTGAAAACTTACTTCATATCTGGAGAGAAAACCAAAGTACTTGGGGGGAAACCTCCGTCCTAAAGCACCCTCTTGCTTGGTCTTATAAAGAAGAAAAACCACATATAGAACTGGAAAGAAACAATAAGCCTGGGTAAAGATGCTTTGAATTGGCACTTTACAAGTAAGAGAATTCAAAAATGAAAGAAAGAGACAAAAAATGGATTTTGCTGTGGCTCAAAATGTCACTGCTAAGGGGGTGAAAAGGACCGGTAAAGTTTAGTTTCAAAGAGAAAATAGGGGGAAATGACATACGTTGAGGTTTCTTTCTTTACCAAAGGATGGAAAAATGTGTTGGCAAAACCCAGGAGGCTCAGCTTCCTTGCTGAGTGTCAGTAGTTTTATGAGATGAGAATTTCAGAAAACCACTCACTTCCGGGTATATGTGACTCACTGAGAAGCCCCTCTCTTACATTTTCCCCCTTTGGCTGAAAGTAGCCTCGTAGCAACATGATAGCACAGTGCTCCTAAGGGTTTTAATGGGGGGTATAAGCCTCTATGTAAGATTGTCCAAGGAGAGTAAGTCTCTGCTCTTGATTACAATTTGTAAAAGCTAGAGGCCTTCCTCTTTCTGGTGTAGCCTCTCTCTGTTGTCTGGTTCTGCCACAAGGACCATGATAGAGGCCCCCCAACTTTTTAAAAACTAGTTCACAGGATGGTGATGGAGAATGAGCATGGGGTTCCAGGAGGAACGTACTGGAATTAAGTACCAGTGCGAAAGCTTACTAGCTGCGTGACCTTGGGCAAGCTATTTAATCATGCTCAGGCTCATTTCATTCATTTATAAGATGGAGATAAAAATACCTACTTCAAACAGTGGAAAACATTAATTAAGGGATCGCCCTGAGGTGGTATTACTTAATAAAGGCATTGCTAGAAAACGATAGCTAAATCCTGCTCATCTTTAACTTTTAGGAACATCAAGTCTAGATCATTTATTTAGTTTTTATTGAGGAGGGCATTACCAACATGCCCATTATGATTCTGGTGTGTTTTCCATTTTTTTAAAAAAAGTATTTACTTAAGAGCTTTTTACCGAGGCCTACTATGTGCAAACAGTACATTAAACTTTGTATTACTTTAGTGTTGTAATAGGTCAGCTTTATTTATTTACTTTTTTACAGTGTCAGTGGCTGGTTCTTAGAGTTTCATAATTACTTGATTACTTACACCCTATTTCTTATTTGTTTGGAATATAGGTTTAAGATTTTTTTCAAGCCATATCAATTGGATTGCATATGTGGAAGAAGATATTAAGAGAAATAAGTGCCCTAACATTTATAACGTACCTGATAAATAAAATCTAATCTTTTTTTCTGTTTGAACATATTTTGGATGTTAAGAAAGAAAATATTTAGATTGCAGTGTTCCGATCATTATCTTATTCAGGAAACCCCAAATGACTCCTAAAATATCTCACCCTACTTCATGATCTTTAGCCTATTTCTGTACCTGTGTGAAGAAAGCTTTCCCAGAAGAAAAACTCAGCTCAGCTGCTTGTCCTATTTTTCTACGTAACTGTTTTAGGCTGTCTTAGAGTTTGATGTTTTTGTCCAGTTAGAACTGCTGGTCACTAAGGTGGACTCCAGGAGAAGGATCAGAGGACAAGGCAGATATAGAAGGCAGAGATCACTGGAATGCCAAGAAATTAGATGCCAAAGTGACTGAAGGTAGATTTCCCCAGATGATGGGGTGGAAAGCAGAGAGAATGAGGGAGGAGAAGTAAAGAGAGGCAGAGGGTGAGGAAGAAGCAGCTTCTTGAGAAGTTTGGCCCCCAATTTGGTAAAAATCCAATTATTTTATGAGGCAGTATTAAAGCTATCATTTTGTCCAGGGTTTAGGAAAAGAAATGATGATTGACATGCATAATCTGAAAAATGTTGGGATAAAGTAGTTATCTCCAAATTAATAATGATGTATCATATCAACATTAAGTAATATAAACCTTTATGGTCACACAAAAACATAAGAATAATCTATTGGCTGTGCATAGACAGAGGTATTTAAGTCAAATATAGCTCATGTAATACCTGGCCCTGTTACTCATTGTATATGATTTTGGGCAAGTTAGTTAATATTTTCTCATCTGTGATGAAAAGATATTATCACAGATCTCACATACATTTAGAACAATTAAAACAAATCACTTTTGTTTAGTATGTGACACAAATCATGCCATAGAATAGGCATATAAAGCACTAAAAATTTTTCTGGGTGAAGTTCTGATGGCCATGCATGATCTCTGGTTAATCAGTTAAATGCGGCACTTGCTTATAGAGTAGATTGCATTTTAACCTTAGAGTGCCGAATGAACCATTATGGCTGCAAACGTATTCTTGTTTTGGCACAGAGTTCAGTGACTACACGCTAATATGTCTAATATATTATCCTGTAATTAACAATGAATGGCAAAAGTGTTTGTTTATATGGCCAATTAACTGAATGACCAGTTTCCAGTGATATACTATACACTGAGCTTAATCAAATCAAGGTTGGATTGATGGTCAACAGCTGTGAAGTTGGCATAATAAAATGCCCTTCTTGAAGAAACATGTGTTAAAAGGACACCTTGGTATAACAGGGTAATGTATTTGGGAATTTCAGAATTCTTTCTCAACAAAATAACACATTTTGAGTGATTTTTGGTCAACCAATTTCTCAAATCTGCAGTTACTTATTGAAATTCTTTAAAGTTTAAGTTTTTTTTTTTTTTTTTTTTTTTTTTTTTTNTTTCTGAGACAGAGTCTTGCCCTGTCGTCCAGGCTGGAGTGCAGTGGTGTGATCTTGGCTCACTGCAACCTCCACCCCACTGGGTTAAAGCAATTCTCCTGCCTCAGTCTCCAGAATAGCTGTGATTACAGGGCCTTGCCACCACGTCTGGCTAATTTTTTGTATTTTTCGTAGAGATGGGTTTTCACCATGTTGGCCAGGCTGTTCTTGAACTCCTGACCTTGTGATCTACCTGGCTTGGCCTCCCAAAGTGCTGGGATTACAGGCATGAGCAACCATGCCTGGCTAAAATTTAAATCTTCAAAAAAGTCCTTTCCACAGTGAAAAGGATTAAAGTTTGTCAAAGGGCCTAATATCTAATCCAGAAGACATGTAAAACCAGTATTTTGAAGCATTCTAAGATTCAAATGAGAGCATTCGGTTTTCATTTCTATTCAGAGACCATGACTACAATATCCGGCTACTAGATTAGTAAAAGTTTTTAGATTGTCCAAATACTGATCCCTCATTTGCCTTAATAATGATCTCTAAACATCTCAGTAGCCATTCTGCATGAATGCTTGATATCAATTCAGCCTACAGCCTAATCCTCTAAATAATAATAAAAATCTAAGGAAAGCTTTGCTATTTACTTAGAAGGTAAGAAATCTTTATTATTTACCTAAATGCTTTCCACAAGAGGATAATTAGTAAATGTAGGTCTTTCACTACAGGATAGTATCTGCTTGCTTGAACTACTGCTACACATTCATACTTGTTGCATTTAAAAGTAACCTCTGTGTTTTGAGGCCTCATTAAATTGGATTTCCAGTTCTTTCTATGTCTTCAGTCTGATAAATGGCTTGCTGGCTTGGAGGTCTAAAGCCCCTGAAGTCTCTGGGCTTCTGTTTCCTTCTTCTCTAATTGTCCTTCTAAACTAATTATCTCTCTGAGTTGTCATACAATATTTTGATGAAAAATACAGATGACTTTCCTAATACAGTAAGCATTAAGTATTGCAGCATTCTAAAGAAAGTCATCAGTTTGTGCATGAGTAAAGCCAATTCCCTGGCCCCTAGTGCTGGCTGGGGGCAAGCGTTCTGGGAGATTTCTAGAAAGGTGGCCAGTCTCAGGGCTGCAGTCATTTTCTTCCCCTCCCTTGATTCTGTTCCCTCAGGAAGCCAGTCTGCAGGTCCCCTGGAAACCTTGGGATGGGGGACGGGGCAAGATGTGCACTTAATATGCTCAGTAGGTCCTGTAGCTGCTGCCACACTCTCTGTCTGTGACAGCTAAGCAGCTGCCATAACTGCTTTGGAATCCGAATGAGATAGCAGCCACCAAAGACTGCTGGCTCCAGTTGAGCTGTTTGTGTGTTTTGCTGTGTGCATACCTTATTTGAGAAGGTCATGTTTGATAGGGGCAGAAGGAGGGATTTGTCTCATCTACAGCTTCAGAAGATGCATTTGGTTTTTCCAAAGGTAGAGATAATGGCACAGGATAAAAATGCTAAGGGTAGAACTCTTGAGGGCTCAGGCGAATGAGGTTCCCGAAGTATGAAGAGTAAAGAAGAGGGAATTAAGCTACTGTGTCCTTTTGCAATGCATAGTAGGTCCACACACACAGAGGCTCAGGCAGATACTGATGGATACTGATGCTAGCAAAGGCAGTTCACCTGAGTTACAACAATAAATATTCTAATGCTGTTGTTACCCTCTAGTTCGCTCTACATGAACGGAATGTTCTCTTCCATCATGAAACAGATTCGGCTCTGGTCTGATGACAATTTTCCTCATTGTTCGTGTCCCTGTGGAGAGATGCACTTCCAGACGGCCCTTGTTGAGGAATATTGCATAATAGGCCTGCAACGGCAAGTGGTTATTGAAGATTAAACAGAAGCCTCATTTATGACTTAGCTTTAGAAATTCCCTGGCAGAACCACAGGTTCATCTGCTCTGAGATCTTACCTGACAAATTAAGACTTTATTTTCTTAAATGGTTTTGAAAACAGCTAGAAATATCTTTCTAATCATTTATTTTTGCTTGTGAGATGATCTGGAAAGTGGATATATTAACATAGCAGCTCTCTGCAAAGCAGATTTGCGATGCTGAAAGTAACAGCTGTGCTCGTATTGGTCCTCTCACTTACAAAACGCATCAGGAGACAAAGGATGTCGACAAAATCCCTCTCCCTTATATTCACAAGTGGACAGCTAGCTTCTGAGAATCAGGCCTGACTCTCAACCTTGTGGCATTTTGGGTATTTAGACTTCAATTTGTTCTCTGAGCTGGTGGAATAGATTGTTATCACAAACATGTAACCTGCCTCCCACATTTGGAAAGAAGGAAGATAATTTTTCATCCACAAACATGCCTGCTTTCTTCTTGCTACTGTTACTATAGCAACCAGAATGGTTTTGATATCCCATCATGAACCCCAGGGAGGCTGAATGCAGTCCTTGTCCCCAGAGCTGATGCCACGTGCTCTCCCTTTCTTGTGGAATAGGGGGCACGTGCCACACCGTGATGGCTCAGTTCTCCATGAGTTATCTATGGTGGTAGAGACAATTTCCATCAAGCATCAGCATGTTCCAATAATTTACTAAATCGTGTATGTAGTTATGTGTCCACCACAAAAGGTTTTGAGGATCTGGATAAGTGCTCACCATCTGTCAAAGGGAAATCACAAACTACTCACTCAATTAAAAATTCCTTAGCTCATGGATTGTTTGAGATATCAAACCCATTTAGTCGAATAGAATCACAAATAACTCTAAGGGTATCAAAACTGTTAGCTTTGGAATATAAAACATGTCAATTTAACCAGCACTGAATTTAAATCTATGTCTAACATACACTATTTAACATTGTTACCTCCTTCAGATACCATTTACTATGATGTTTTATAAATTAGATATGAGTATTAAGATGTTAAAACATTAAAATGTCATTTAAACGTACTTTATACTATAGTACTTAGTGTTTTCTTATTGTAATTGTTTTAATAGGAATCTGTTTTATTTTAAGCACTATCCTGAAAGCTGGTGATTCACATTCATTTCTCTTGTCTTGAGGAGGAGAAATCTGGAGCCAGTAGGTAGTGTTTAAATATCTGTCAATGATGAAGGAATTAAATGTCCTTTAGTGGAAATCTATTTTAGAATATTTGATCTGGTCTTCTTCTTATAACTAGCTTATCATTTTTAATAGTGAGAAAAAGGTTTATTTTTCAATATAAAGGCAAAAAATTAAGTGGGCATTTGTATTTTATATTTAGTGCTTATTATGTGTAGGATGAAATGAAATAAAATAACAGTTTTCTCACTCTACTCTTCAAAAATATTTTTATTCTGACTATTTGATATATTCTTCACAATATAAGTGATATGTAAACAATGAAGCTGTGTTAACACTGTACCATAAAATGAATACCTATAAATCTACCACCAAATTTCAGAAGCAATACCATTGCATCTCTTATGAATTTCTTTCTAATACTATCTTCCTGTTTCTCCATCTACAGGTAACCACAAATGTCAATTTTATGTTTATTATTACCTTACTTTTAAAAAATATTTTTGAAATTCATATGTCTGTAAACAATATGTGCTTTAGTGCTACTTGTATGAGAAATCTACAAAAATGATATATTGCACATTTTTCATTTTTTATTTATTTTCTATTTATTAAGTTGTTATGTTTAGTTAGAATTTCTTTTTATTGTTGCTTGATCTCATTATGCAAAAGTGCCACAGTTTGCCTCTCTGTTCTTCAGCTGATGAACATTTGGGTTGTTTCTAGTTTCTCTGCTATTACAAAGAATATTCTATAAACATTCTTGTGCATGTCTTATTATGCACATGTGCAAACATTTGGGTCTATACCCAGGAGTGGAATTGCTGGCTTGTAGAGATTATGCACATGTTCAATTTTACAAGTTAGGGCCAAATAGTTTTCCAAAGTGGCTTTAGAAATTTACTTTTTCTACCAGCAGTGATCAAGAGCACTCTTTGATTTATGCCTTTCCAATAGTTTTCTTTCTAATACTATATCAACCAGTATGGTTTTGATATCCCACTGTAAACTGCAGTGAGCTTTTCCCCTTTTGGGGACAAGGACCACATTCCTTGTAGATTATACGTACTGTACATTTCCAGACTGAGGCTTGTGTTTTGTTGTTTGATGACCAAAGAGTTTAATTTTAATGAAGTTCCACTTAAAATCTTGTTTTGTTCAACCAAGCCTTCCTTTGTTTCCCTAAAGTCAAAAGTTATCCTTGTATATTTTCTTCTAAGAATTTTAAAGGCTTTTGCCCTTCCATATTTAAGACTTTTAATTTATTGTGAATTTATTTTTTTGGTTTGATATAAAAAAGAAATAGTTTCATCTTTTCCATATGAATAACCAATGGCCCTGAAATAATCATTCACTGAACAGTTCACTGTTTTTTTTTTTTTTTTTTTTTTTTAATAAAATGCAATGGCACTTATTGTCAAATGTTGTTTCCATCTATGCTTGTGTATTTTCAGGGTTCTCAATTATTTCCTATTTGCACAGTTATACATAAATCGACATGATAGTTCCACAATACAAAACTCTACCTTCTAATGTGCTGATATCTGGTGGATTAAAACCCACTACAATATTCTTCTAGGAATTTCATCTTTGATATACATTTTAGAATAAGGTTGTCATGATTCACAGAAAGATAAAGTGGTATTTTATTTATTTATTTATTTATTTATTTATTTATTTATTTATTTGGAGATGGAGTCTTGCTCTGTTGCCCAGGCTGGAGTGCAGTGGCATGATCTCAGTTCCCTGCAGCCTCTGCCTCCCAGGTTTCAGCGATTCTCCTGCCTCAGTCTCCTGAGTAGCTAGGATTACAGGTGTATACCACCATGGCCAGCTAATTTTTGTATTTTTAGTGGAGATGGGGTTTCACCATGTTTGCCAGGCTGGTCTCGTACTCCTGACCTCAGGTGATCCAACTGCCTCGGCCTCCCAAAGTGCTGGGATTACAGGCATGAGCCATCATGCCCAGCCAAATGATATTTTTATTAAAATTGAATCTATATACCACTTTGGGGAAAAGTGACATTTTTAATATTGAGTCTTTAATATCTTCATTAACATGTTGACTATACCAATTTATTGACTATAATCATTAAGAAATACTTTGATATCTTTCAATGAAATCTTATCACTTTCTCCATATGGGCTTTATGTCTATTTTGTTATAATAATTCTTAAATCATATATTTGGTCTTATTCTTGTTCTTGGGCTATATTTACTTGTTCTTTTCTTACTATGCTAGCTAAGATCAGTGCAGTTAAAATAGTCATCCTTTTCTTGGGCTTGATTTTATAGCAAATGTTTATAATTTTTTTAATCAGGAATACTTGTTATAGTTTTTTTATAGATGGCTAACGAAGTTTTTTCCTCTTAGTTTACTTAAGTATTTTTTTTTAAATCATGAGTGACTGTTAAATTTTACCAAATGTTTTTACTATCTACTGAAAAGATTATATGATTTTTAGTTTTTCTAATATTAAACCATTTCTGCATTCCTGAAATAATCCAAGTTACTTGTGGTTATACATCTTTGGGTTGCATTTGCAAATATTTTGTGTGGGCTTTTTATTTTGTAGAAAAATAAATAAGATTTGTTACATGATATTATTGATCACTACATGTTACATGCTAAAATCGATTTTTAAAACATATAATCACAAGTAACATGACCTAGTTTACAAGGGTATGTGCATATTTAACAACATATTTGTAAAGCATTCTGTTCTTTTGATTATGGCAGACTAAGTAATTCCTATAAACCTTTTCACTGAGAAAAACTAGATTAAATGAAAATTTACATTTTAAAAAATGTGATTGAAGATATTAAAGAATACCAAGGCAATAAGAGATATGATGCTTAAACCTGGGCAGTTGAAGGATTGCCTTTAATGGAATCAAATGGGGATATAAATACTAAAGATTATGTCCTTGCAAAATTGATACTGTTTTTTTAAAAAATTTTTTGAGACAGGGTCTCACTCTGTCATCCAGGCTGGAGTGTGGTGTCGTGAATAGTTGAATAGCAGTCGTCAATAACTGGGACCACAGTCATGTGCCACCATGCCTAGTTAATTAAAAAATATTAATTAACTAGACTGTTGCCCAGTCTAGTTTCAAACTCCTGGGCTCAGGTAATCCTCCTGCGTTGGCCTCCAAAAGGCTGGGATTACAGACATGGGCCACTGTATCTGGCTAGTTGATATTCTTTAGGCCTTAACATCCTTGAATGCTATTGGGCTACAGTTGTCCATGTCTGTGTTGGTTGTGCTCTACTTGCTTTCTCCCAGGTCCATTCTCTGCCCTTCTTTGTGTCCAGAGAGGATGGGATGGGTCAGGCCCAACAGACTGTGTCACTTCAGCTAGTACAACTGGGAAAATGATCTTAGAGGAATTATTTAAATTTAAGGGACTGTAGCTGAATATCTACAGATCTGATAAGGAGTTGGACTTGGAGACAATAGAAATTAAAATAATGTGAATATATTTTAAGCTGTCCTCTTTACATATGCATATGTTAAACCCTTATGAAATATAGGTGCAAATATGAGTGTGACTTTGCACCTGCAATTGACCAACAGGAACATCCTAGAGAGGACAATTGTCCTGGGGAGATGATTTGAGAAACAGGAGGCCAGCATGGAAAAATGGAATGCTCAGTCCTTGCTAGCTAAGACGACAGCAAAAATAAAGGAAAGCAAGTTAACTGTTTTATATAAGCATGAGGGAAAATGCGTCATGAACTAGGTGTCAGGGTACCTGTCCAGTCTGCCTTCGTTTTCTCCTGCGTGGTGCTGGTGTCCCTCCACTTCCTAAAAGAATGATGCCGGACTCATTCTTGGTGCTGAAGGACAGGTTGATTTCTGTTCCTACATCAATTGGCACAGGGGAGAGCTCCACAAAACCAGGTTTAGGAAAGCTAACTGTGTAAACATTCTGCAAGCAAAGGAAGAGTAGAAACCATTAGAAATGAAAATTTAAATAAATTCTCCATCTCATTCACCCTCCTCGATGCATTTAATGTGATTATGAAATATATCGTAGTTTTAGAAAGCAGGAAAACTCGCAGTTACCTGGAGAGCTTAAAAGCAGTTGAAGAAATATTATTTCTAGTTATATAAGAACTTCAAATCTTCTGAGGAGTTTGGGTTAAAATCAGAATTATAGCCTCTACTTTTATTCTAGAACTTTTGGTTTTAAATATAGAAGATCACTGTTAGATATGTTTTTCTGTTTGTTTAAACCAAAGATTTAAGCCAAACTGACACAGGCAGGTATATGTCTATCAATCTCCCTACGTTTCCCTTGTAAACACTGTAACTAATATCTTTTGAACAAACTCTATCAGTTAATTGTTTATGTTTTACAGATGGGTATGACCATTATCTGTCTGCATTTTTTTCTCAGTGATAAGGCAGAAGCCTTAAAAATAAATAAACCAAACACCGTGTAGTCTAGTTTTTTCCTCAAAATTAAAGTAATACCATTGTCTTTGCTGAGTATAAAATTAAAACAGTTACATTTCAAGTAGAACTCTAAAAAAGATGGAAAAGGGAGAAAATCAGCTTCCCATCCCAATCTCAATGCTGGGCAGAAGCATTCCACCTTCCTTCCTTCCTTCCTTCCTTCCTTCCTTCCTTCCTTCCTTCCTTCCTTCCTTCCCTCCCTCCCTCCCTCCCTCCCTCCCTCTCTCT